CCGAGCCTACCTGGGGATCCTTCCCCCACTCCCCACTAACCTTGATTCCGTGCCTTTATGCCGTGCTGCCCAGGGAATGGCCCCTTGCTCGCACGAGCGTCTCCATTCGACGTGTCAGTGTGCTCCTTCGCATTACCCTACTCAGACGGTTAGCCGAACTGAGCTTTCGAGGCTTTGCCTTTACGGAACTACCTCGAGAGGTAGTGGTGGTGAAGGAAGTGCGCAGGGATGTCGATGGTATCTGTGGAGCGGTTGCCTACCATTTGGCTGCTTTGTTCTCGTTCCTTCGACAAAACAACCCGCAGGGTATGGCAACTGACAGCGCCGAACTTGCTCTCTACGCGGAACCGGCCTTCTGGCAATATGGCCGGCTTTCTTTCTGTGCCAATACATGTGAGTCCAAAACGGCAGAAGCAGGCGGAGTCACCCCCCAAGCAGCTGCCCGTGCTAACACCCCTGCAGTAGAGCCCAGTCGCAATGCCCTTGCGCTAATGCAAACAGGCATCATGTCCTTTGGCAGAAACCTGAACCTGGGCAAACCTAACCTGCCAGTAGGCGATACACATGTTTACTTCCCTGTTCAAATCGTCCACAGGCTCATGAGGCAGTTCCATGCCTTAGGGTACCAGGAAGTCACCCCCCAGGATGGGCTAGGCTACCGGCGCAACAGTGGTCCGGAAAGGGCGGACAATCCCTATATCATTGTCCAAGCCTTTGAAATGCAACACGCCTATGCTGACCGCCCAGCCCTGCCATACACGCCTCGGCTGGCAAAGGCCTACAGACAGGGCATGCTGGATGCTAACTATGGCCAGTCCATCTCCTTCCCATCCACCTACAAATGCTGTTTCCGCCTTGAAGTGCCCGTTTGGAGTGATGCAGACAACGCGCGCTCCCTTCCTGAAACGGCCAAAGCGACCGATGCACCCGCAACCTTGGCCCAGCCTGTCAGTCTTGCCGGTGGTAGACAAGGCGCCCCAGCCAGGTGAGCAAGGGCCCGCAGGAGCAGAGGCAACCGCAACTGACGAGGTTGAAGAAGTTGAGCCTGACGAAGAAACGTACTTGGTACCGGCGGGGTACGGATGCTTCTCCTTTCGGCAAGGACTGCTTAACCGCGCTGCGCGCACATATGAGGCACGAAGACTGACTACAACTTGCTCCAGAACTATTTCACCGACGGGTTCCCGTCAGGGGTCCGCAATGATGAACAGCGCCCCTATGTAGTGGCACACCCAAAGAAGCTCCTCAAAGAAACGTGGGAGAATGCCATCATTCACATCACAAATGACCCAACCGATTGGGGCTACGCGGGGAGATTTTGCCAAGCTCGGGAAACCACCGATTTCCTTGCAACCATCAACAGGGTCAACCCGGTTTTGGCGGAGCCAGACCCTAGCAATACGGCAGTAGAAGCGTACGCAGTGGACACTGCTATCTCTGCTAACGAGAATAGCTCGACCTCCTCCTCGTCCAGTGTGCACCAAGGGGTAGCACCAGAGCAGGCGGTGGAGGCGGAGAGCGCAGATGCTCAGTGAAGTGGCTGTGGCAAAAGCCCCTGCAGGCGGTATCCTGAGATACTGTCCTGACGGCGGCCAAAAGCTAACCCTGCAACAGTGGCTGCAGCTAACTCGGTTGTTATGGATTGGTCGGAACCCAGGAATTACAAGCAGAAGCATCTAAAGGCTGCCTTGCCCTTACTAGTATCGACCTTCCTGATAAACTGAGATACATTGCACGCAAAGCCTTTGGAGACTGTGGCCAGCTGCCACATCTTCGTTACAGGCGAAAAGTACGAGTCACTTGGAGACGACCATATGCTGAGAGCAATGCATTTGAATCGTGCTTTCGACTGGACCTCCCCTGGTGGCTCAATTATCTCCCCCCCAATGGGGATGACTGGACAGTACCGCCAAGCTTTCAAACATAACATGTGCAAGGCAACACAGAACAATCTAGGGCGGTCACCTCAGTCACTGTCCCTGGAAGGAAGTCAAACAAGTTAAGAAAGCCTTTGGACAAACTGCTACCTATGAGAACAAAGCGAGGTGCTCTGGCTCAAGCTGTAAGCGATTTGGGCGCAGAGCACTTCCAGAATTTGCAGAATGTTGCTCCTTGTATCAAATAGGAACCACTGAGAGTGCGACCAATTTACTGGCTCCACAAGCCCAAATCTCTCCATACGCCTTTGAGAGTTGCCTTGCACTCTCGCAGGTCACTTTCGAGCAGACAGAGGCTCATGCCTCGGGAGTTGCGCGATACATCCCAGAGGAAAGTTTTTGTGGGTCAGGAATTGAGCAATTGAAACTACCAGCAGACTTCAACTTCGTTGGACCTATTGCGTGCGAGAACTGCAAGCGGCTGAAAATAGTTGATTTAACTAGTACCAACGTAACTGCCATATGGGGCTCCACCTTCTCGCGCTGTGCGAACTTGGCACAGGTCTGGTTCCCACCGAAGCTAAGGCGCATTGGCAAAGAAGTCTTTCTGCTGTGCTCCTCGCTTCAAGAAGTGCATACCCCACCGGCTCTGCTATATATTGCTCACAGAGCATTCTTCGAGCGTGGACAACTCATTCAGTTCCTTAAAATGGAAGAGAAAGCTACATGGAGAGGACCCTATGCCGAATGTGACACTTTCGACTTGTGTGACAAATTTCACACGCCGGAGTGGATCAACCTCCTTCCGCCAAGTCAAAGAGACAGTCAGGGCTTCAATTCCGCTGACTTTGATGATGAGCTGCGCAGGGACCCGCACTAACACAATGCCAGCTAGCCCGCCGCAGGCTGGCGCCGCAGTGTCGGTCCTGTCGGCGTGCTCTTTCGCTGCCTTCGTAGCACGTTGTACAACCAAGACAAACTAGTTAGGCAGCTCCCAGGCCGGCACCTCAGTGTCGGTCCTGGATGAATACAAAGTGTACAGATTCTACTTTGGTCACTAGGACGTAGGGTAACGACGTTTCACCATGTTTCACTGTAGTAGAGGGGCGCTGCGTGGTACAGTCATTCATCACCTGCACACCGAGCGCAAGCCAGATGGCTTCCACTTGCCTTTCTGTGTCTTCCTTTGGCCAAGCTGTTCGGGAGCCACCGATGCAAGTAGTGTGTGTGTGTGTGCTCGTTGCCCTCCTGCCCCGCCTGGGGAGGAGTGGTCATCTGCAGTATGCAATCGCCTTCCTAAGAGATTCCTTTCCTTCATCACAGGCTGCACTGCCGAATCCGGTTACCGAAAGCGTGGAGCAATCGGGAACGTTTCGCGGTGGTTTTCCTGGGTGCCTGTTCAATGCTGCAGAGAAAAGTTTCGACTTCACTAGCATCGCAAGAGATAGGCCTGCGCGATTGACTGCGCAACCACGTATGCGTTGCTTTCAATGCTCTCCAAGTGCAACAGCTTGCACAGCGTTCTGACTTCAGGACGCTTCGCTGCACTGAGGAACGAACGTGGAATGAAGAGAGACAAAACCTCGTGGTCCAACAGTACCGAGAGGCCGGAGTTTAATTCGTAGCCCCTGTTTCACCTCTTTCTCTTTTGGTCTGCGTGACCCCTTGAGCTACATGCCAGGTTGCTGGTGTCTGTGTGGGGTGGGTTTGTTGGTGGCTTGCTTGGTTTTGGTTGGTTGTTTTGTTTGTTGTTTGGCTCTGTTTTGGTTTGTGGTTCTTTGCTCTCGCAACCTGGCTCGTAACTCTCTCTTAACCAGCACAAGATGACCTGTGCAATCTCAGCACACATGGCGTCTCCACACGTGCAAAAAAACTGTACACTGCGTCTCGAAGGCAGCAAAAAAAACCTGTCCGACAGGACCAGCACTGAGGTGCCAGCCTGCGGTTGGCTAGCTGGCTCTTCGCCTGAAACCAGGGCCCAGCAACTTTTGGCCTGCAACTTGAGAACCAGGCCCTGATCGCAATTTTTGGCCACCATGAAACGCGGAACCCTCTGATGTGGAACGCTGCGATTCGGTCAACTATTAATTAAGATGTTTTGTTTGAGTGCCTATTTAACATACCTCGGACCCAGGTCTTGGGTATCACATGGATCTGCAGATTCAGTGTAAGCAGTACGAGGAGCTTCTGCGGAAGGTGAAGGTGACCATTGGTCCGCAGGGAGGCTACCGTCGCCGCACCGACCGGAAGTGTGTTTTTGGACCTGCGCGACAAAACAACGCCCGTGGGACAACGCGTGCGTAGGCTAAGTTATGTTGTGACCACTTCCACCTTGAGCCTTGAGCCATTCCAATGCCCCATCTAAGGTTTGGACGTTATCCACCTCGTGCGAATATGTCTCGTTGCACACTTGGTGTTAGAACACATGGAAAACATTGTAGCAGAACACAAACACATGCGGACCGACTTGCATGAGACGCTTGCATGGAACTGACGTTGAAAGCATTCCACCCGGATTTCACCAAGAGGATGTGATAGTAGCGAATTTCCTCGACAACTTGGCGGGCCCTACAGCGAGAACGAAGAAAAGTGCTGAAACTCACTTTCCCATGAGCTCACCTGGGTTGGCATGTGTTGTGCAGCGGGCCAGGTTCAATCCAGTTTCAGTGCTAAAGACAGGTGCCTTCTCTGTACGTATCCGAACGAACTCATCAGCTCACGCACAACATGAACGAGGCATGAACCATGCACGCAGGTCAGAACAGGGGGCTAGAATAAGATTGACACAGTACCAATAGATCATTTGTGTAAAGTCCATTGCAAAGCAACATGCCGCAATGCTTTCTTCATTAGATGCGCCAAGAGCTCCCGCAGACTTCGAATCAAACACGTGATATCAGCAAGAACAAACCATGGGCAATTGAAGCAGTTGCAAAGAACAACCGACGCACAAATGTAGAAGAATGAGGAGCATGATGTCAAGTTTCAAACTCACGACAAATAACAGGAATGAGAAAACCGGAAAAAGACGGCAGGACTGTAGGTGGTGCGTTTCATTCTTTTTTCGGACCAGAGACCTGGAACAGATGTTTATGAGGTTTGTTCAGTTTGGCCCTTCCCAGCGGGTCACAGTGACAGCACTCAGCTTCCGAAGAAGACTCTATTTTTGTTGCTGCCCTGAAATAGCATCATGGTGGAGATGGAGGAGGACAATGAAGGCACTCGACGCACGTGCTTCAGAGACACTGAGTAGTTGGATTCTGTTACAAACGAGTCAGACTTTCCACGCCGGGCTGGTTTGAATAGACCCGCTGGTTTGGGACTTCGCACTTCCCAAGAAAACTGTAGACAAGGGAACTTGACGAAGAAGCCCCTGCGTCGGAAAGACCCCTCGATCTCACCACTGCCTCATTTTGGGTCCACTGCGACGTCTTTCCAGATCACCACCAGACTGTTTTTACTTTTTTGGGATCCGTCTTTTTTTCCGCAAGGCATGGACTCCAAGACGCGGCTGAATCAGTTCTGCCAGAGGCGCTTTGTGGCTTTGAAGAGTTTTGCACGATATGGTATCAATTCATCCAGAGCTCGTTAGTTATATATATAAGTATATATATATATATTACATTTTTTTTTGGTTCTCGCTTGAACCAAAGAATATGGGCAGTATGGGCGACAATTGTATATGACCTTGGGCAAATTGTTGAGGGACTGTGAATGGCGCAGGTATTGCCTTCGTCCGGTCACGAGGAAGGACATCCTCTATTCCACCACCAAGTTTGGGAACAAGCAGCCACTCGGCCTCAAACAACGACGTCCGGCTTGGTTGGCCGTTGGCCACGCGAACGAAAAAACGTGTCCGGCAGCTCTCGCCTCTTCGTGGGGTTGGAGGGGTACCAGCATGGGATCAAATGGAAAGCCCCATGGGACCCAGCCGCGACCGACTGCGAAGGCCGTTTCTTTCCACTCGAACTCGACCCGGACACCTGGACCTGCGAAGAGACCAGTTGGTCGTATGCATCGGTGGTTGACCCGCTCTTTTTTTTGGAAATCGACCGTCCGCAGCGTCTTTCAGGTATCAGTCCATCGTGCGATTGAACTGCATGGAGAGTCAGGACTGTGCCGGCCACGATGTGGAGGGCAAGAGACACCCACGATGTGGAGACCAAGGGCCGCCTCAGAAACACAAGGCAGCAAAAGAGAGCTGAAACGCCCACCTGCACTAAGAAAAGGGTCACGTCAGGCTGCGAGTTAGCTTGAAGATGGACTCCATCGCGACATTGGAATATGATGGCCCAAACCAAACCACCTCAATTTCAACCGGTACAAGACCAAACCGTCAACCCTCTGTGGCCGAGTCCGTTCATCTTCTTGCACTCTGTCAGACCTTGGATCTACCCCCTGCCAGACCCCCTCCCCCACGACACGCTGTCGTTGCCCACCCAAGACGGTGCGTGTGAAAACTCCAATCCTCTCCATGTTTCTTTTTGACCCCCCAAATGGATAGAAAAGTAGATCCCCCACTAGACAAAGTGTCTGATCTATTTGTATTTGGGGACCGCTATAGTTATTTAATGTTATTTACAAGCAATCAACGGAATGATCATGACTTGTCACGTTGAGTGTCTTCATCCATGGTACGGTGTGAACGTGTCTCCGTGTCTCCCCCGTTCGGTCCGTTCGGAACGCCCCCTCCGCACGTGCGGCTCGGTGAGTCCCTCGTGGGGTCGTTGACGAGTCGTGGAGGAGTATGCCGGGGAGCTGTGCGAAGCTCCGAAGGACGCGGAGAAGTCCGCGGCGCAGCAGGCGTTGAAGGCGGATGTCCAAAGAGGGAAGTTTTTCTTGGTTTTTTCGTTGGGAATTTCGAAGTGGGGAGGAAGAGGCGTGAGAATTGTTTGCAGCTTGGAATTTCTTCTCTTGCAAGTGAACATCATATTTAGTGATATGTAGTGAACATATAATGAACATATATCACTAGGGTGGGCAAAAGAGGGCGATGGAAGTTTTGGGCTTTACACCTTTCGAGGTTCTTGGGAGTCCGTCGACTCGACGAAGACGGTCTGTCGACAGGCCTTCCAGGCTGTGATCGCTTCTCTACCTGCTGGCAAGCCCGTTAAGAAGAAGCCGCCACCCAGTCTGACACACCCAGGGACTTCACGACAGCAGTGAGGAAGGATGCGGTTTTTCGGATGTTTCAAACGAAGAAGGGGGGGCTTAGGGGCTTTGAGCTGGCACAGCGCAAGAGGGTTTGGGCCTTTCAGTTGTTTGGAGGTGGCTCGCAGCAAAAGTCTACTTGTGCTGAGGTGAGTTGGATGAAGCCGCTGGCTGAGCGTAGGCGTAGTAGGAATCGGGTCAAAATGATGTAGATGCAGACGATCGCACGAGGTCGCTGCGAAATTGAGCAACCATTGAGGGGCACCGGAGAGTTGGAGGAATTTGGATGATCCAACGACTGGCAACAAATAGCATTTGGACATTTGGGACGACTTGGCCACCTGAATCCTTGAAATGGATTGATGGAGATGGAGGCATGCAGGTTTGTGCGTGTGGCCAGTCTAGGCCTATGGCCTATGGCTTGCGGTGATGTCTCAAGCATAAGTATGAGGTTTATGCCCATACAGCCGACAACTTGAACCTGTTAGGTGAATAAGCAAATAGCTGATGCTGAAAATCCAGCGCTCACTGACAAGGCCTTTCGGGCCAGAGTCATGTGGAATAGAATGTGTGGTTGTGGCTGTTTTTTGAGAAGGGAAACTGAGTTAGTCAGAGCAACTTCAAATCGATTCGCGCGGTTTGAAGGACATATTCCCGTTTTTGGCATTCTCGTGTCAACGCAGATTGTTTTGCAAAGCTCTTGGTTCTTTGGCCAGAGGAGTCGATTGGAACACATCCAGCAAATGCTTGGAGCTTTGACCGACCATTTCTCTCTTTGAAGGAACACTTCGCACTTTGTTCGTCTACTTTCTTCCAGTGTGAAGACGTCCACCGATGGGTCCAGCGCCACACACCGAGACGCCGACGCCGAGACGCCGGCGACGCAGGTGAAGCTGAACGCGCTCTGCATGCGGATTGCGAAGTCGGGGGATCCGGAGAGGGATGTGATGTTCGATTCTGACATAGACCAGAGAGTTGCGAGGCCCCAGGGGGGGATCGCAGATTACTGGATTTGATATGATTTGATAATAAAATATCATAGAATAGATGTTCTTTTCCTGAACGGGATGTGCTTGCCTAGGCGACCCCTGGAGAAGGGTGAGACTATCTATGAGACCCAGCAGCTGGGTGTTGGCAAGGCCGGCAAAGAACAAGGAATCGAACCCACCACCAATTGACACGTGCACACACACACAGACACAGAGACGCATGAAAAACGCCTCAGTAAGTGCAATCTTAGGCATGGGAACACATGGTGCCACTTGGAAAGAAAGACCCTTTTTTGGTGAAGTTTAGAAGTTGCTGTGAAAGTCAAAGGCTGTCGTCATAGAAGGTGAGTGGACAGTTAGCGCTTCTTCTGCACACTTTGCAGAACCCCAGTGGCTACCAAGCAACTGTGCGATTGCCGCGCAGCACTGAGTGGTGAACGTACTACTCAAAGGCCTTTTGGATTCTTTGATAGCAACATACTTCTTTTGAACAGATGCTAAGACTGCAATACCACGCATACTGAACATCACCAGTCACCCTTGTGTGCCAAGGCAACACTCAATTCTTCATTAAGGACAATTCAAAAGCCAGTTTTTTGTATAACAGATACTATATAGACTGTTTCAATTTCTTCTCACCTGAAAGTCCAAGGGAAGAGCCCTTGAAAGTCCCCCCCTGTTCGCGCAGTCCTTCAGGTGCTTGCCTGAGGATTGGGCCATGAAGCTCTTTGCCGGGGAGGCCTTCTGAGAACGACCGAAATGGCCACGTCCGGAACCGCTCGTGAGGCCGCACGCCGAACCGGTGAACCGCTCGTTCGACCGTGAGGTCTGTCAGAACAAACAGGCTGCGGAGCAAAGTGCGGCTGGCATAGCTTTAAAGGCGTTGGAGGAGCTGACTTTTGGGCGAGCTTCTCATCGGTCGCAGGGAGAGTCTGCTGATTTGGCATTTTTGGGCGTGTGGGAGAAAGCTGCGTACGATGAACATCTGGAAGTAGTGAGGGGCCGAGCAAGCATTGTTGATGGAGATCGCCCCGTTTCGGCACTTTGGGCGCCTTTGATGTAGAGATCATCAGATGGAATGCAAAGGGGCGAGGCAGTTTGTTGTTGGGATTCAAAGTCCTCGTCCAGATGTCCGGTTTGCTCATCCAGCTGCTGCTGTCTCAACCACAAGCAGGGCAGTGGTTTGAGCCTGCTGATCCACCCAGTCTTTTCCCTCTCCCTCATCCGTCTCCTAACCCCGTAGGAAGACCAAGCGCTTTGCGCGCTGGCGGAAGAGAAGGCTGCTGGGTGCAAGAGATCACTTTCTTTCTTTTTGAGGCAAAACCTGCTGAGTGAGAATTGTATTATTCTGTTGTGGGTTTTGAGGCTGGGATAGCTGTGGTGATTGTTCGGCTATAGGTCGAATGATTGAACGGCTGCAGCATCTGGGATGCGTATATCTGTGCTTGTTCAGACAAGGCTCTGGAAATGAAAATTTTGCTGCTCTGCCAGGTGCCAAAGAAGCCCTCTGAAAAAGAAGGCACAACGGTCTCTCTACAATGACGCGTTTGCTTCTTGGGGGTCGGGCTTGCCCGTAGAAATGACTGAATGACTGGTCGGTTGCGTGTGGTGTGTCGGCCCGAGATGATGATGTTTTTCGGTCGGTCGGTGGCATCCTGATCGTGCATCCCTTTTTGTGCGTGTCGCTTTCACAGGAAAAAAGGCGAAAGGAAAAAGCTGGAAAGGCCCGGCAGCTCGGTCCTGACCCGTTGTCTTCTTCGGTCCTTTCGGGCGTCCACGACGTCAACGATCGGGTCTCGACGTCGCCTCAGGCTGGTGGGTCTCAAAGGGCGGGCCGGACCTCCCCAGAGAGCTGGTGTCTGAGGCGGGCTGAGGAAGAGAAAAAGAGAACGAGAAAGGAATGAGAAAGAGAAATAGACAGAGACAGAGAAAGAGAGGGGGAAGACCTGGTGAGGCGTGTTGTGTTTCTGACTCTGATGCTTCTTGATGTGTTTATACACCGCAAGCTTTGCACATTGGCAGACGCGTTTGATGTTTGCTTCTTACTCGTCGATTGCGGCTTTGGTGGGAAGGATCAAGCGTAGCAAGCACAGGTCAGAGCAAATACGTGAATAAAAACAGGACATTAGGACTGTATGACTTCAAACCAAGGAACCGTGAAAGGCTAGACAGTGCATACGGCACATTTTTGGGGTCCACCGGAACCCATCGGGCAGGCGCCGGTGGCTGCCACCGTCCTGGAGTGGAAGGGCTCCTTTGGTTGGGTCAGGACCTCGGTTGTTTGGGCGCAGGTGAGCAGAGGAACGCCACATTGACTAAAACACATGGAATTAGACTTTTGCCAAGTCACATTTCATGTCATTCCACCCAATCCCAGATGTGGAGACTGGGGATAAAAAAAAGGTGAACCACCTGCGACACTTGAACGGACTGTGAAACATCTGTATATCTGGACCGGACCTATGTGTTTGAGTATGTTCATACGTCGGAAGAGCTTCAAACCCACCTGGGTCGGTCCCCGACCGGTTCCGACCCATTGCTGACCCAACTCTTTTGTGAACAACAACCTCACAAGTAAACATAGGAGCTACTGTAGACTCAACTTAAGCCTCCCAATGTCCAAAGAAAACCACGACAGAAAGCAACACCGGCACAGCTCATGAGCTGTCTGGCAGCTCTTTGAGGTGAAGCTCTCCCAACCTTTGGAACATCCTGCTGTTTGGAAGCCGAGAATTCCGAGAAGTCCACCGAGCTTCATTCAGCCCTGTGGGCCCTGCTGGCCACAGGCCTTACAGAGCCAAACTGCCTTGTCATTCAGCTGGCGCTCAGTGATTTGGCTCATAACCGTTGGACATGCGCCAAAGATGGCGAAAATCGTTGGACATGCAAGCTTGCGCAGAACACTCAAAGCAGCATCCTCCCGACGATAGGCCCAGCCATGATAGCTCAGGGACTTGAGTGCACTACACGTTTTCAGCCCACGCTTGGCCAGCAACCATGGCAGTGGCCAGAGGAAGGTGTGCTGGGGAGCAGATTTTGTCCAGCGTTTCTGGGAAACGATGTGACCGACGTCTCCCAACATCTCCACCTTACTGGGACCCTGTAGCATGGCTGAACACTTGCCACGTTCCTCAGTTTCTTGGGAGCCTGGACTTGTTCAGGACCCAGAGGGCTTGGCTGACTCTCTGCGCATTTTTGTGCACGGAACCTAGCTGTTGTTTTGTTTGGCCTTTCAGCCATGCCCCTGACTCGTGGATCTTGTGCTTCAGGTGCTCCCACCTTTGTGGGAATCTGGCATCCAGAACGATGTCCAACTGCAAGTGCCTAGCTGAGTTGCATGTGTGCAGTGGCTGAAACGCGACGTTTGTGTTGTTGTCCAGAGCTCAATCTGAGATTCTCAGTCTTTTTTTCCAGGTGGCAGATTGACAGCGCATGCCTTTCAGAAGGACTTCCATGTTGAGGTGGTTGTAGATCATGGTAGATTACCACCCCGAAGGACCATGGTGCTCTCGGAGGTCTCCACCGGGGGGGGTCTCCACGTCAGGACGAGGATCGGGTGGATTACATGGAGTCGCCCTTCGGCCAAGCCATGGGCTTCCTCGCCAAGGCCGGCGGATTCGCTCGAAAAAGGTGCCGGGGCAGACTCCGTGATCGTTGAAGACAGGAACGGTGAAAAGGGAGGCAGCGAAGGTTGAAGCTTTTGGACTGCGCGAGGAAGCATTCTAACCTACTAGCAATGGCCTCCATCCAACCTGCTAGCGATGGCCTGGCCTCACTCTTTTGTGCCTGACAAGGCCCTGTCTGAGTCTCCTCTCAATGCCGCGGGCTAAGCGCAAGTGGTGCATTTGTTGCTTTGGAGCATCATTTCGGGTGTGTGTGACATGTTGTGCCTGAATCTAGCCCTGCGCTTACAAGATCTTACAAGTAGCGCCAGGTTGAAAGCTAAGAGCAGCCCAGTGAAGCTGATGTACTGAAAAAAACGCACCCTACCTACCGCTGGATTGCAGGAGCCATGATTCGCCAGGGATGTTGTTAACCATTAACCTTAGAGGAGGTTTGCAGAGTGGCTGACAAGGCTGTTCTCTGACCAGAAACTGCAAGGATTGCTGGAAAACTCATTAGATTTCTGTTTGAGAGGCTCCCACCCCGGTTTTCACCGAAGCACCTTCTGGACCCACGGAAATCGCAGCGCCAAGGATGCCAAGATTGCATTTGCCAAGATGCAAGCAGGAGACTACGACGAGGCAGCTGCAGAGAAGAAGTTGGAGGACGAAAAGCGAAGCAACGCGAAGCGAGGACGCAAAGCGATGCCGGCTGCCGCCGGTGCTGAGATGGTCAAGAAATGGGTGGGAATGTTGGTAGCCAAATGATGGAGCCCTGTGACAAGAGGACTACATTGCTGGCAGTAAAGTGGTCATGCCGCTTGGACTGGCGCCTTAGAGACACCTGCACATTGCTGAGTCACAGTGCTCCAAAGTTGCACCGCTTTCATGACAGCCTAGCTGTCTTGCTGAGGTTCTCCTTCGCAAAATGCCCTTTCTGTATCAAGGCCAAGAAGGAGTTGACTGACATGGGCGTGCCATTCACAGCCCTGGATTTGGACCAGATGGACCAGGAGGTGTGCGGAGCAGGTTTGCCAATACTGACATTGCTACAGTACCAGAAGCGTTGCTCAGGTTGCTTCTTGCTCCCCATGCCAGGATCGGCTTGGGGAGCACATGTCTTTTTCTTCTTTTTTCGAACTCTTCGAAATCAGCAAGATTTACTTGTTCAATTGTGGAACAAGAACACCTCACGACCCTCTGGTGGCTGTTCCCCGGCGGTGGGGCTGACGTCGCCAGGGGAAGGAGCTCCGGGCTGAGTTGGCGAAGAAGACGAAGCGGACCTCCATGCCCAATATCTTCATCGCAGGGGAAGGCATTGGAGGAGCTGTCTCAGCCGAGAGGTAAGAACTTGTGGGAAACAAGTGTTTTCTTGTGTCTTCTTGCTATTGCATGGTTCAAACTAGCGGTTTGAGGTTTTATAATTTGAAATTGTACTCCCACTCACCCAGATGAAAAAGGAGATACTATTGAAGTCCAGTTTTCTGGACAGGACTGCCACTTTCCCACTCTGTGTTGACAGCCAGGATGCAATGATGGTCCTGGGCTGATGAGCCTTGGCTGTAGTATGCATTTGGGAATTGGGGTCACGCCCGACCCAGATACAGGTGCGATTCAGAAAAGAAAGCGTCTGAGTCGTCAACGAAGATACCAGTGTGAAGATCATGCTGGGCCGTTGGGCCTCCAAGGGTATGGATGTTTGGTGTCTTTTGGTTTCCAAACGTGACCTGGTTTGTTGGTGGAATGGGGAGGCTAAACCCTCCAGCAAGACTGCACCCAACTCGTCCAGTGTTCTCCCAGCCTGCTGACACTTTGGGTCCGTCCTGACTTCAGGACTTTGAAGAAGGAGGGGAAACTTGAGCCGATGCTGAAAGCTGCCGGTGCCCTGTAGACTGCATAGGTGACCAGCGTAGGTGCCCGAACGCGGATGTGAGGCCAAATCTACCAGGGTTTCGAGGTGACCATCCGGGAGCTTGACAGGAGCCTCCTTCAACAATGTTTGGGCGCTGTTCGGGGAACACTGATCAAAAAGACACTTGGGAGTTTGGAGGTCTAGATTCTAGCCTCACAAAGAAGGCTGCCAACAGCAAAGCGGCCGGCTCCGCCTGTGCGAAAGCCGATGCAGTTCTTGACTGGCAGGGTGTGTATAGATTGGCTTCGGCCTTGCGACAGTCTCGCAGAGTCTCAGAGACCAGTATTGTCTGTCAAAGCTTGGCGAGCTGGATTCCAGTTGATCTTAGTCTTGATGGTTTTAACAACAGGCGCCTACTGGATGACATGAAACGCATGATGTTGTCCGTCATCATTTCATTGCCTCCCCAAGTTTGGACCCACGGATGTGGCATGTCTTGGCGAGGACCGAAACGACGGACTCACTTCGATTACGAGGGATTCACCTGCCCACAGAACGATGGTGCAAGTCTTTACCACCCAAATTGGGCACTACGTAAGCCCAAGTTTTTAAAGGTGTCTCGTGCCGACTGAGGCTTCCAAGAGAGAGGGCAAGGCTGGAGCTGGCGAGAGGGACCCGCACGCAGGTTTCGGTCACATCCTCCCCAAGGGCCTCTTCTCTGTGAGCATAGCCTCCCCAAAGCATCCCTCAAAAATGTTTTTATATGTTTTCCCCATGTTTTCCTATGTTTTGCCGTGGACCTCCCGGAGAGTCGAACGCCGGAAGGTCTACTTGCACAGACAGGACTTGAAGGATGGCAAAGAATTGCTTGTGGAAGGAGAGATGGCCCCTCTGCCATGTTCCTTTTTGTTCCTTTTTGTTCCTTGCGCTGCTGAAACCGAAAAACCCCCAGTTCGGACCAGTTCGACAGTCTCCCCTTTTGCCAATCAATGAGACCTTGGCCCTAGGCATTCTGCAGACCTTCTTCTAAAGCCAGAGAAAAATTTCTTGGAGAGATAAAATACCCCGCCGAAGGCCGCATCAAAAGCCATGGAGTAGAAACTGGAGATCAACTGACAACTAATTCTCATGTCAGGTGTTCGTCAGCCTCTACACGGATTCCATGGGTTTGGGTGCTGCTGAGGCTCGTTGGTGGAGAAGGACGTTCCTCTAGAAGACCTAGTTTGGTGAGCAAAACACAGCCAAGGCCTAACAGTATAACTTGCTACTAGCCTCCTAAGCCTAACAGAAAAACTGATCAGATTTCTTTTCCGCATCACGTACTCTACGCCGTTTTCGGCTGCTGAGACCGGGTCCGGTCAACGTGGAGGCCTGACATGACCATCGGTCCGAACGCCCGCGGAGCGCGGGCGAGCGGAAAAAGGCTTTCGCATGGGTGAAGTTGATGGAAGATGGCGGAGGAATAGCTCTCAAATTAGTGGGATTGCATCACTTGAGAGTACCTTTTTGATTTCGCGAAGAAGTGGCAGCGGAACTTCCATTGAGCTCGGTGTGTGCTGAAGAAGTTGTACCACCCCCAATGTGCTGAAGTTGTGTGGCCAAGCATTCCTCATGGACCTTGAAGAGGCACTGTTGTGTTCGCCCTTCTCAGCTTCAGAACATGAGTAGTAATGTAATGACGTGACATTGGTGTTCACAGGTACGACAGCCAACAGGTGGTCCCATATGTGACCTTCAGAAAGAAAGACGTCACCCAACTAGACAGTGAAGGAGACACGTCCTAAGCACCCAGTGTGCAGAAATGCGGGAAGCCTTCTAGGGTGTGATTCAAGAACTTTGTAAAGTGCGCATCATTGAAATGCCATGACGAGCGGGCCGGTGTGGAAGCTTAGAGATCTTTTCCCAAGAACGGGCAGAAGGGGCAGACACGGAATCCGCCTATCCCTTGGTGGAGCGGTTTCATGCTGAAGGAAGATCTGTCAGTCTATGCATTGCATCCATTGGTGGAAGAACACGAGGATCTATGTGGAGAGTATTGTGTATGCCGGTGGTGCTGGAGTTTTGCCTGGGATGGGTTTGAAGGGCATTACTGGTTGCGAAATTGAGCATGGAACACGGCTCTCAAAGTTAGTGGTGACCAACGTGTCACATTTGTACCGGTCTGTATTCTATCTGGCTTTGGACACTAAGTAACATGGAACAAAAGACCAATACAGCACAATGTTTCTCTATTTTCTTTTTTTGTGTAAGGGTAAACTTGAAATTAGCCAGCGTCCTGCTAAGGGGGACGCTGTGGTGGAGGCCAATCTGGCAATACGTGCGTGCTTGCGGGTAGCAGACGCGAGTTTACTTGCGGTAGTTTGGTGGCGATACACGAGCTGTTTCAAGTGCAATGCACATCACAAGCACTCCTCAGCTAGAGGAAAGCCCTTCCCTTAGCTAGAGGCTGCCATGCCGGGGGTGGGCTTCCATACCAATGGACGTTGTAGAAGAGACATTGCTGTTTCGATCTTGCAACCAAAAAAGTGCATCAGGTTTCGAATCCATGCTTTGCTGGCACCTGTTTGAAGAAACAAACCACGGCTTTTCTGCAAGGAAGAAGGCACAAAATTGCATGGGAGCTTGAAACGGACGTCCTCTCCGTCAGGACCAGGAAGAGCCACCTGCACCCGCTGAAGGTTCGGGTCACGTCTTTGGGTCTTTGAGGCGATTGAGATGGTCATTTTTTTTGGCTTCAGACATGGTCAAACAGGACCTGTGCACTGTGCCACTCCCTGTTTTGAAGGGGTTTTGGATCGGTCCCGGTCACCTCCGGAGACCGGGACCGGAGACCGGGACCACCGGAACAGACGGGACGAGTGCAGGGACCCTGGCGCATCAGATCCTCTACGGGAGCGCCACCGATGTGAAGTTGAGAGCACAGGCGAGGCTGGCTGATTGGTGGAAGGAAAGCATGAGATGAGAGGAAGTCCCTGAAAAACTCTCGATACTTGGTGGGTTCCACAACTTCGCACTTGGCCATTTCTTTTGCGACCGATCGAGGAGTGGGCGAGCCTGTGCAGCCGGGATTTGGCACAGGCACTCCTGGTGGTCTTGGACTTGACCCTGGCGCTGTCGGGTCTGCCGGGCGCCGTGACGCCCGAGGACCTCGAGGCCGGGTGGGTGGGAGTCGACCAACGGGGAGTGGGAGAGTTCCCAGCACAGGCGGAGCCTGCTTTGTTGGTGTGCCCTGATTGCACCGAGTGAAAAGCGACACTGAAAACACGTTTCTCGTCTTCAGCATCTGTTTCTCGTCTTCAGCTGAGGATCCGCTTGCCGGACTGGGTGAGGAGCCAACATTTGGATCCGACGATTTATCCCATCTGTCCTAGTCCTCATAGTTCTGCACAGAGCCGGAAGTCCATCTCCAACCTGGAGAACTTCCTGCGTCATGGAATTAGCGAGCAGAGACTCGGAGACATTCATTGGTGAGAATGGGATGGAGGGATGCGGGTGGGATGGGGAACAAGTAGGGAGCAGACACGAAGAACTGAGAGAATGTGAGATGGTGAGATGATGAGCTCAGGAATGGTGCTGCCTTGCTGGATAGTCATTTGGTAGTGCCTCAGCTCAACCTTGGGCCTGCAAGTTGGAAAGATGCTGTGCAGCCAGGTGTAGAACAGGATATGCAAGAAGCATCAACAAACACTTCCAGATTAGCTTGTGAATCATCATAAAGATGTTTTTTGGGGGCCAATTGGCCAATTGGAGGGAAGTGGTGTTCATTATCCACTTTGGGACTAAATGGCACCCCATTGGAACCTGGAAGTGCTATTAGCTGCTAGTATAGGAGTCTTTTTTTCCACTATTGAATTGCTTTATCCAACAGAGACTTGTGCCTGCAACCTCGGCACCTTTGAGCACCGCATCGTTGCGCTCACTTCGAAAGAAGGAGATTCTCCTTTCAAGGCCTGCCACCTGCTGCCCTGCGTGGAACGTTTTTCTTTCAAGTACAAGGGTTCCCTGCTAGGATTCAAAGGTACGCATCCCAGATTCAACAATATGTGGTCCGGCTCAGTTCCCACATCCCTCTTCTCTGCAAAGCTCCTCCCTTCCAAAGTTTCAGATCTCAGATACCTGGACACCCCAAGAGTCTTGTAGCTTGGCACCTTCATAGAGACCTACCAACATCTATACTCTTAATCCTTAATCAAGCAGAATGGAGTCAAAAAGGCGGTGGCGGTGGAATTGTAGTCCGTTGTTTGTCCGTTGTTCCCACGCTCTTTTGCCGCTCGCTCCTGCGGCTCCCCAGACCTCGCTGAGCCGCTGGTTGCTGGTGCTCCACGCCGCGGCCATTCGCTCGGTGCGCCACGTGAGCACCATCGCAGCGCTCTCGGTGGCGGAGGCCGGTCCACTACGTGTCCACCGGGGAGAGCTGAACGGGGGAGCGCGGAACGGTCTGCGCTGCAGACCGAAAGCCAACCTCTCATAGATGGTGAAGTTTTTCCCTCCCAAATCTCGGGGTTCTCCCGAAGGAGTTTGAGCTCCTCCTGTGCGTCCCTGTCTGGTAGGTCTTCTTCTTATATATTCCTTACATCTCCTTGCTACGTTTGCCAGCTACTTCCTTGACACAGCTCTCCTCCTACCGGGTCCCAGCGCAGCTCCAGGCCTTGGGACATCAATACCATGCGCTGAGCCGTTCCCATGAGACCTTGTCCCGACAGCTGCAGACGGTCACGGGGAATGTCACTGCGCGCCAGGCAGGAGAAAGGGTTGTTAGTTAGAATGTTCTTGCAGAAACTGGAGGTGTTGGCTGTTGGACATGAGTTGTATCACTTTTGGATGAAAGCACTTCAGGGCGTGAAGATCTCCAGGTTTGATCTCCTGGTTGCGTGTGTGTATTGTTTGAGGCTTCATTGAGTCCACAAAAAGAAAAACTTGCAACTGCCACGCACAGCAGCCATTCTTCTCCTGAGCCATGACAGGAAGCGCAGCTGAAACGCGATGCCACCTGACTTCAACGCGCCGCGGAGGGACCACTGACCGCTCATAGCACCCAATTAATTTTTTAGGTTTTAGGTGTTTGAACTCCAAGATAACCAGGAGCACCTGCGATATACTGATACTGATGACCTCCTCCATGCAGAAATCAAAGTGTGCTTTCTTTCTTGAAGCACTGTAGTCAGCAGGTCGGCAGTTAGGTGCGCTTTGACCATGAATGTCCACGAACCTGTCCCACTGCCAAGGGCCCCACTTCCGGTGAGATGAGGTGGGTGCATGCTTCAGCCACGCGCGAGAGATGAGCCGAGCACGGAATCAGCTGCTTGAGACCATCGTGCCCTTGCGGAGCCGCTGGGGAGCCCAGGGCGAGGAGATGAGCCCAGGTGAAGCGAGAAAGGCTTTGGACGGCTGAACGGCCCGAAGGGCTCGAGTGACCAACAGAGGTTCGAGCAGGGCTTGTCCCTTCTATCAGAAGGAATGAGATTGGGACAGCATGGGAGGTCCTTTGACAGGGTGTCTCGTCTGTCAGTGTGTCGAGTTCGGACGGATCCTTCCCCTTCACCAAGGTGACATCAGTGAGGTGATCCGCGTCTACACGCTGAGTCAGGTCCGCCCGGGTTGACACCGGAATCGCAGGCTTCGTACGGTAACGGACGGTCGTTTCTCCACTCGCCAGGTGGACCGTCTGATGAAGGTGGATCCGGAGATGTATTTGCAGAACAAGTGGACCGCCCGCGTCTTCTTGATGGTCCATGACCCCCATGCTCCTTGACCACGGGGACTTTCTCAGTTGACAGAGTGATATAACTGGTGAGTTTTGGGGGCTGGAGTCAGTGGTCATTGGCTCATCAGCGGTCGAAGCTGAGTGGGCTCGTCTTGGAGAAGTGACACCCGATTTGCTTGAGAACATGTAACAAGGACCCTGAGGTTTTGATCACTCAGCAAGGGCTAGAATTTGCCTTTACATGAGTTTTTGTTGGAGGGGGACCGAGGGGGATTGACATCTTCGCTGCTCAGTACAGCCCGCTTGCTGAGGTAGAAGTTAGGCTCAAGGCTCTGAGCGTCCTGCTCTCAGTCATTTTGCGCAGGACCCGTTGTTAGCCAAATTGCTCACTAGACTAACATGCTAAGGTGACTAACAACTGGTCCTAAGGTGACTAGCCATTGCTCTCAGTCATCACGGTGCAAATCATGGTGCTGAGGTGATCATGCAGTGGTTTCTGCCCGACAAGAAGAAGTCCGCCGCTGTCCGGGACTGACGGTCATGTGTTCGTCGAAAGGTTTTTTCACCGGGGCGGACCCCAAAGCGACCTGGTTTTTGTGTTTGGATATTTGGCTAAAACAAAACAACCTGAGCGATGCACTTGTGTGTAAAGCTGCAAGACCAGTTGATTGGATTGGATGACACAATCCTCTCAGCACAGAAAAAGCACAGTGTTATTTCTTTTCTTAAAAAATCAACGACGCCAAGACAAAACTCCCTTCCTTCATCCCAAGTCGGGGAAAAACCACGCTGAAGCAGCTGGATCTCCAGGAGCACCTGGGGCAATTTGCCAAGAACTGCTTGCCACACTTGGTGGAGCGAGTGGGTGATGTGGAGCCCCGGGTGGCGCAGATGGCGCTGCGATGCTTGCGGCAGAAGGATTTGGCGGAGAACTTGAAGTCGGAAGAGTTCGAGTTGGTGGTGAATCTGGTGATTGGAAGCCGGGACATGGCTGTGAGCAGGAAGCTTAGAGATCGGAGGTGGGGGAGGATAGACTTTGGACCAACTGCAAGCCAGCAACGCAAAACGCAAAACGGTGGGAGAGTCTAGGAGAGGGGGAGAGGTAGAGATTTTTGCGCCAAGGAGAAGAGGCTGCGCTCTTCGTCAACACACATGTCTTCCAGGATCCAGGTATTTGTTCCAAAGAAAGGTCCAAGAAGCGTGGCCGTGATGGCGGCGGTGGTGGAGATCAAAGAGACAAGGAGACTCCTGAATTTTGGGGTGGTTGGAGGAAGCCTATATTGATGACTTGCCAACATCGCAATGACTTCTTCTGTTCTTGAAAGCAGGACCATGGTCGCGATGAGGAGGACGACTGGCAGGCTGACCCCCAGCAAGAGCTGTACAACTCCGAGGTGGCCATTTCAATGTTTCTTGGTTTTCTTTGAGAGATGGTGGACGCCAAAAGCGTCGCCTTTTCATTTAGTGGGCATTTGCTGCATAAGATTAAGTAGACAAGTTTGCAAGCACATTGTCCAGAAGCATATTTGGGTCCTATGCATGTCCGGCAGCCCATCAAATGTGGTCTCTCTCCACGATGCTGAGGCTCATTGAGTACATTGACGAGTACATGAAAGACCGGCTGCGCATTTGCGAGCGCCACTGGATCGAAAGGGGCACCGGGCACGGGACACATGCTGCACGGCTCTAGCTGGGGGTATTGGTGCGGCCGAAAAGCCGTAGGGTGCCAGTCATGGGACTTTTGCCATGAGTTTTTCATCCTTTCCCAATCTCCTGGGGTTGGTTCGTTCGCGAGCCTGTTGATGGATCCACATGGATGGAAACTACATCAGTAATCATTCTTTACTCTTTTTCATGCAAACATTTGCAAAGATCCCTGACCATTGTTTTTCCCGCCAAGGCTTGGTTGGAGCCTTTTGGCCACGATCGCCTGCCCTGTCTCACTGGAGCACCATGGTGAATCTCTGCATGGTGGGAGAGGGAGCGCAACGAGTAGGCAGGAGCTTTCGTCCTGGGCAGGACCATCTTTGTTTCCATCTCTTTGCTACTTCGGCTTTTCTCGCCCATTCCTGGTGTGAGACCCCAGACCTGGTCCGGTAGACCTGGACGACTGAGACGCTCCACGGAGGCCAGACTCCCATCACCTCACGGCAACGGCTGTGCTTGTTGTACGTCATGGAGGCCGCCGTCAGGCGCGCCCTTAATCGCGTGCGCGTGCGTCACCACGGCCTTGGTGGGTGGTGTTGGCCGTTTTTGGGTGTTTCTTACTTTGCTTTCCCAACCAATGAAAGCAAGAACACCCAATGAACAGTACAGTATAAACAATTGGTAGAAGGATAAACACCCAATGAACATGTGGGGTCACCGGGAGAGTTCTCCCAGCCATTCTGACGCCCATCAACCCGAGGCGTGCCGACGACGAGGTGCGCACGGCACGGCCCAGCGAGAAGGATAATGCTGCGACCCGGATGAACGAGGCCCAGCTGGATGAAGAAGGGGCTGGATGGGGGATGATTTGGGGTTGTTGCTATTGAGACTCCAGACACTTGGACATTTTAGAGACTCCGGCGCACAACACGTCAAGACTTTTAGTGAGTCTCGTCAAACATGGGTGATTCTTTCGGATAAGAGATGCAGAACGCTGGTCATAGGCCTCCTCAGACCAAATCAGAACGTTGAACCAGGCCCAACAGCCTCCATCCCATCCAACGATCTCGACTGGACAGCTATACGTAGCTCGGCCTCGAGCTAGGCGTGCATGCACATCATCCCGGAGATTCCAAGACTCATGGACCTTTGCAGACCCGAGGAGACCCAAGAAGACCCGCGTCAGACGTCGCGCGACATGTCGCGACATGGGATCATGGGATGTGCATGACAGACATGTCATGCCATTTTGACCGATGTTGTCTTTTGAGTGGGCAAAACGGGCAAATGGAATCAGGCAAAACGTGCCAGGAAGAGCAGTTCCTTTTGCTGACACATGTTTGCAAGATGCTGGTCGAGTATGCCGTTCAAAGTGCCCAAAGCCAGGCCAAGCTCTCGGCGAACTATGAGATTGATTTTATCAATGACCGTCAGGTCTTTGTGTTTGTGTTTTTCTTGAATGCCGATATATTATATATGTACCAGAAGAACGGGAACCTAGAAGGCAACCAGAACATGGAGTAGATGAACCACGGGTGCTTGGTGTTCCAAATGTTCGTAGCTCCTGAACCAGCCATCCCATGGATGACCAAACCAAACACACTGTCCTTCCAAACGCTGGTCGCCCTTGACTCCGGCGCTTGTCTCGGCCGCGGATGTCGAGGTGCTGGTGAACTCGAAGGTGCTTTGCCAAGGCTTGCGGAAGGCCATCGAAGACTTGTCGCCCATGGAGACCATGAAGAATAGCTTCTTGGTGTACAGAGCGGTTTGCCTGCTCGGCCGGGCATGCGAAGGCGACTGGAGATCCCACGATGTTTCTTTTGGGGGTCAGGGCTATCACCATGTATCACCCATCATTGAGATCCTTTCCAGCATTCAATGATTGAATTATTGACAGAGTCGCTGAACACATCTGTGTTGAGCGAAGTGAACAGAAAGACTGGGTGGAATTGCATGCTAGGCACCGTGGGCTCCGTGGGGCGGTGCCTGACTGAGGTGCTGACAGCTTGTTGGCCCTCGCTCGGTGCTTCGAGGAAGCAAAGAACACCTTCCTCGACCTCTCGAAGGAGGCGACGTCACTGGATTGCTGTGCCACACCGGTGCTTGGAATGTCATTGGAGACATTTTTTTTCGGCATCGTTTTGCAGGTTTTTAGATGTTCGCGAAAACGACAGGTTCACCGCGCCTGCAGCAATATCCTGGAAGATGAGAAAGTGAAAGATCGATTTCAGGAGCTCCTTTTCTCAACATTTCACCTGTTCCTTCATTGGTCGCACCCGTGTCAGAATCTGCATGCAGCGCAGCAAAGGGTGGCCTTTCAACATGCACACCATATGGTGCTTCTTTTGACTGTGACCGGGGCCGCTAGCGAAAGGCACATGGTGCCAAAAAGATAACAGACACATTGCCATGGTCTCAAAGTGGGATCTCCTTGCAATCCTTTGCTATAGCCTTTCAAACATGGCCGCGGTTTGGCCGCTTTCGCCGTGGTTTGGCCGCTTTCACCGGTCCCAGGAGCTCCGGCCGGTGATGAGCCGCTTCCTAGTGCTCGCGAACCGCGGCATTGACCCGAGCTCAGTGAGAGTGACGTGCAGAGTGACGTGTAGAGCTCAGCCGGTCGAAAAGATCATCGAAAGGCGCACCGATCACCATCCTTCACCTCTTCCACCCCTCTCGAACGGAGTAGAGTTGCCGGTCATTTGTTCTTCTTCCGAACGCGTCTGATGTTCCTCCGAACCGTTGGGCCGTCGGGCGGGGACGTGGGGCGCCCAGCGGAGGATACGTCTTTTGGCTCCATGCCGATGGTCCGACGGATGCTGAAGCTCCTGCACGAGCGAGTGGAACTCATGAAGGCAGTGGTGTGAGCCGTAGCTGGGGATGTGGGGAGAGAATACGAGAGCTTCATGAGGATGTAACATGATGTATGAGGTTTGGGAGATATAGCTGGGTAGCTTTAGAGAAGGCACCAAAACCAAACCTTTTTGGTCAGCAGGCGAATCCACGGAAAAAAGGGGCACTCAGCCACAGTTTCGTGGAAGTTGGGTGGGTCGAGCTCACTTTGGTAGAAGAAACTCAGCAGCTTGGTGAGTCTATTTGGTAGAAATGGTTCGTGAAGAGGGCTTGCTTGCCGCAAGCCAGTGATAAAATTTGAGGAAAGGATTGGTTTAGAGATCTTTAAAGACCTGTAAGACTTCTCAGAAAGCATTTTTGATCCTTGACAGGTTGGGCCCACAAGTGGGGGTTTGGAAGATTTTGCTTGTTGAGCATTCAAGCGATCCTTTTTGTCAAAGTCCAGGAGAAGAGAAAGCAGGGAGAGGCAGGCGCCCGAGCTCTCGATGTTCGTCCGATCGGTGGGGGGGTCGCAGACGGCTACGGCGTGGGGGCGTGACGCGTGCCAGTTGGACTGCCAGTGGCAGCCGGTGGTCTGACCGCGTAGGCCGATGGATCGCGAGTTTTGGGCCCCTTGGCCCCTCACAAGAGACTCAAGAGACTGGTCGGCTGTGTTACCCCGTGCGGTGAGAGGAATCTCTGCAGTCATGGGGAGTGCTCATGGCAAGGTTGTCTCACTGCTGTCTGAGTGCGGATGTCACGGATCGCCAAGGAAACGACTTGCTTGCCAATCCTGGGAATCTGAGCTGCTTGAGATGAGTCTGGAACTCCAAAGGAAGCTCGAGGATCCGCGCTTTGTGGCCCAGCGCTGTGATTTGGATGGTTCTGGAGATTTGGACCCTCATGAGCTCAAACAGGCCATTCGTGCCTTCGGCACAAAGCTTTCAGATGAAGACCTTGAAGAGCTCATGGAGGGGGAGGAGCGTCTCAGCATGGATCGCTTCGTGCAGATCGTCGCAGCGCTCCGAGGTGAAGCCTCTCCATTGGGGCTGAGCGCTCGCAGCGCCCCCTGCGCCGTTCCACACTCGTTGCGTGGCATGGCGTTAGGACAACTGGAGCGCCTTGAGGAGGTGTTTGTGAAGTCTGGCTGGCTGGGGGAGCAATGTGAGAGCTTCAACCAGCTGAATGAGGAAGCAATCCGTCAGGGAAGCAAGTACCCGCAGGCAGAGAACTTGTATGCCATGAACACCTTTGTGGTCACGCCGATGACAAGGCCTGGCACCTGCAAGGCCCGGGATCAGGACAGCCGCTTCGAAGCGGCGGTTTCACAAGCAAATTGGGAGATGTCCTTTTCCGAGCTCTTGAATCCACATGGCCTGATGGTCCACAGCTTCGTCTCCCACTATTGGGGCCACATCTTCGAGAAGACGATTGCTGCTTTGCGGCTCTGGGCTGAGGAGCACTTCAGCTCTTTACCTTCTGGTTGGCCCCAATCAGTGGTGTATTGGATCTGCCTCTTTGCACTGAACCAGCACGCTGTAGCGGAGGAGGTGGGAGAGAGCCCCAAACAGGGTCCCTTCAACGCGGCGTTGGCACAAGCGTCAGCAGGGGCTGTCATGGTGCTGGATGAGGAAATCAACCCTTTTCGACGCATTTGGTGCTTGTTCGAGGTCTCTCGTCTTGCGGAACTCCACCGGCCATTAGAGCTGATTTCTGAGCTGGGTTCGCTGTCGAGGCCTGCAGAGGGCATCCCGCACGTACAAAAGACACTCCGGGCGGCTGGCGAAGCATTGTGGGACATGTCGGCCAGCGAGGCCCTGGCTTCGGACGAGGAAGACAAGTTCCGAATCTGGCGGGAAATTCTGGACCCTTCCGAGCAAAGGTTGTGTGACTTCGAGAATCGTACTTTTGATCTCTGGGAGTTCTTTGAACAAACCGATCCGGAAGAGAGAAAAAAGATGTTCAGCCAGTTTGACGCCCACGTCCAGTCCCTGCTTTCAACAAGCATGCTACAGCTTCTTCTACGGCATGGCTCTCACGAAGAAGCTGCCAAGTGCTGTACCTTTGGTGGACGTTTCTCGAAAGAGAATTTGGCCGAGATTTATGCCAACGGAGTGCCAGTATCTCGCAGGACGAGTTGGTTAAACGAGGCAATGCAAAGTTCTGTGAAGCATGGGCATGTGGAAGAGACGCAGCTCCTACTCCAGACTAAAGCCGATGTTGCAGCAACAGACAACCACGGCGGCACTGCCCTGATGCATGCAGCGTTTTACGGCCATACGGCTGTCGGGAAACTTTTGCTGGACAGCTGCGCGCATGTAGCAGCTGAAGATGAAGATGGAACCTCCGTGCTACTGTTTGCCGTCGCTGGTGGACATACTGAAATGGCCAAGCTGCTGTTGGAGAGGGGTGCTGACGCTGCTGTCCAAGATGGCAGTGGTTGGAGCGCACTTGCTATGTGTGCTGAGAGACTTGATGGAGTGATGGCACAGGTCCTTCTACAAAGCACAACCACGGCAGCGACAGCAGAACGCATCCATAAGCACCTGGAAGAGAAGTTCCAAGGGCAAGTGCCCTCTATGATGATGGCCTTGCACATGGCAGATGCAAGCTACCGCGAGAAGATCTCAGTCCTAATTGCAGCATGGGGTGGCTACGAGGCAGCAGAACAACAGGTTGCAGACATGGAAGGAGAAGACACATGAGTAGGCTGGTGAAGTGCAAAAAGACTGCAGTTGGCAGTTGGCAGATGCTCACGTCAAGTTCTACATGGTAAAACAAACAATATATATATATAACATAGTCTTTCTGAGGTACCTTGCAGAGCTGCGGGATAAGAGCTTCAGCCATGGTACTCAGAAAATCGGACATCCAGTCGGATGCTTTTTGCTTTGATCTATTTATCTCTCTATATATATATATAGGCGTAGGTAGATATTGACAAGAGCCATCTAGTGTTGCCTCATCAATACCTTTTGCCATCACTGCAGGACATCAAGGATGAACCGCCCAGTACACCACGCAGAGGCCAGTGATTCCACATCCACAAAATGTCAGGTGCCTTGACTCTTGCATTTGGTAGTGGGCCGCCTTGTTTGGCCATGGAGGAAATGAAGAACATGCACGCAGAAACGTATGCTGGGAATCTCCGGAAGTTCGAGACAAAGCGCCCAATTGCGGCTTCTTAACCAAGCAGACTTCAAGCCGACAACAACAGTCTTGCACTGTGGAAACTGCTTGGTTCCCCATCCGCCGCTGCATTCCAGAAGAAGCTGGGCCTGCACGGAAACGCCGCAGGCAACAGGCAGGCAGTGGAATTCTTGTTGGTCATCGATTGCAATCAGTCCTTGAACTTGGCAACTTGCTGAAGATTGAGACTCTTCTTGAGGCCAGTTCTTTTCATGAGAGCCTTTTTTGCTTTGTTTTTCACGTCCGGACGTTGAATCATCCCCAGTTGAATCATCTCCCGGTACTCTTGTTTGTGTTTTTCAAACGGCAGAAGAAGTCATGGACATGGGAGGCGTTGCCAGCACCGGCTCCACAAGCTCCGGATGTGAGCTGGGATGCCCGGAACGGTGCCAAGGAAGGTCACCCAGGTCATGCTGTTTTTTGGCTCCATGGATGGAGAGAAAGGATTGATTTTTCAGTCAACTCTAGCTACTTATAGTGGTGTTCGGATGTCAGGTTGAGGTGTGTGTTTTTTCAGCATGGACATGAGCCTCGATGTTTCGTCACCTTTTTTCATGGACACCTGTAAATACGAACTATGTGAGCAGATCTTGAAAGCGAACTTATGTGTTATTCAAACAATTTCATTTCCAGATCAAACTCTGTGTTCTCAAAGAAGCAGTTCGTTGGGAGTCTTCATGTCAGTGGAAAACTGACATGATGGTTATCGATCAATTGTATATCAATGTCACACCGTCTTCCTCACCATTGAATCCGTGTTTGTGCTCTTCACTCATCAAACAACCAATCAATCAATCATTGATTGCGCAGGGAGATGATCGCCGCCACATTGCCCAGCGGATTTCGGTTATTTTCCTCCAAGGACTCACTTTGCAGTTGTTGGAAGCGGTGATCCTCTCTGTGATGTGGCATGCGATGGCCTCAACAGGACGAGCACTACAGGGCTTCTGCCATTTTCTTGTTCTTGGATTTTCCCGCGTGTTCTTTTCAGGACCACGTTCACTTGGAGTGGAACATCTTGAATTTCACACACCCAGGATTCTAAGGATTCAATTGACTCGCATTCTGGACACCGTTGAGCCCTGTTACTTCGGTATCCAAGGTTCGAACCACCTATTGGGTGCAGTCCCAAGGCAGGGACTGCGCGGCCAAATCGAATGCGATCGGTGTTGATGTTGATGAAGCAGATTATATATCCATTCGTTGAGTAGCTGCAATTCGCAAGATGACTCAAGCTTCTATACGGATTGGCCGTTCGGATCAGTCCATGGCTTCTGATACCCCATTTTGACTTGTCTTCATCAAGGCGTGTCAGACGTGCTGCATACGTGCTGCATACGAGAACCGACCTCGAGAACTCCTCCTTTGCCGCGCACGGCGTTCCGAGCCTCCCAGGCAACTCGGAAGAGGGCCGTCGAAATGCCGAGAACCAGGCGGGTGCCGGCCGCGCGAGCGGACCTCCGGGCCCGCGGGCTCGGAGGACCGTTCGGGCGAAGATTTGGAGGAATGTTTGATGCAGTACACACATGTTAGCAGTACCAGAAAAGCTGCTTCTATGCAATGTTTGCTTCAGGGCAGCAAACATGTCCTTTGGGCCTTTGGGCCCGTACTTACGTGCTCTTGGGACACATCAGGACATGGGCCATTCTTTTTCAAAAATGTTCAAAAGCAGTGTTGGCTTTCTTTGCAAAAGACCCGTGCATTGGGATCGGATTCAGAAAAAGCAATCCTTCTGGAATTTTCACCAATCAACTGTTCGGTGGTGATCCACACTCCAACCTCCTGGCCACTTCGCGAGGTCTCTGAAATGTTGCAAGGTTTCAGTGAACTGCCGGGCAGCCTAGCT